GGGTTTTGAAGGATGAATAGGAGTTCAAAACGCTAAGGGACAAAATAGTATTCTAAATATTTTTTAAAATATTTTTATTTATTTCTAGGAGAGAGAGAGAGAGCGTGAGCAGGGGAGGGTCAGAGAGAGAGAGGGAGACACAGACTCTGAAACAGGCTCCAGGCTCTGAGCTGGCAGTCAGCACAGAGCCCGACGCGGGGCTCGAACCCACGAACCGCAAGATCATGACCTAAGCGAAAGTCGGACGCTTAACCGACTAAGCCACCCAGGCGCCCCCAAAATAGTATTCTAAAGCAGGGAGCAAACAGTATAAGGGCCCAGAAACGGCCTGGGAGGTGGTGATCGGTCCTGATGGATGCTAGGAGGTGACTGGGTAGTAGTAGAAATGAAGATGGGGGGGCTTAATGGCCACTGAGGAGTTTGGTCATTAAGAGTGTGGTGGTGGCACGACAGAGTTTGACATGGGCCTCCCATGGGGTTGTGTCACGTTGTGGGCAATGCCAGGGCCGCCAGAGTAAGGGGGCTGGTGGATTTCAGGGCAAGTCCTACCTGCTTCCTGGTAGGAGTCCTACTTCCTGTTTGATCAACTGCTGTAAAAAGGTCAGAAAGGAGGGGCACCTGGGTGGCTCAGGTTAAGCATCAGATTCTTGATCTCTGCTCAGGTCGTGATCTCACAGTTTATGGGATCAAGCCCTGTGTGGGGCTCTGCACTGACGGTGCAGAGCCCACTTGAGATTCTCTGTCTCCCTTTCTCTCTGCCCCTCCTGCTTGCACGCATGCTCTCTTTCTCTAAAAATAAACTTAAAAAAAAAAAAAAGGTTAGAAAGGAAAATGGAAATTTACTTTTTTTTAAATTTTTTTTTAATGTTTTTTATTTATTTCTAGGAGAGAGAGAGACAGCGTGAGCAGGGGAGGGTCAGAGAGAGAGGGAGTCACAGACTGAAACAGGCTCCAGGCTCTGAGCTGGCAGTCGGCACAGAGCCCGACGCGGGGCTCGAACCCACGAACCGCGAGATCATGACCTAAGCGAAAGTCGGACGCTCAACTGACTAAGCCACCCAGGCGCCCCGGAAATTTACTTTTGAAGGCAGGGGCAGAGGGAGAAAGCTGCGGAGGAACTCCGTGGCTGGTGGACGGGGGCCCGTTCCCTTGACTGTTTGTTAAACACACTTGATGTCATAAGCATCCTCGTGGGAGCCTGAGATACTTATGACCTGGGAACGTGGTCCTGCAGGATGAGTGGGGGTGGGGGGTGGGGAAGGCATTGTAGGCAGCAGCAATGGCATGTGCAAAGGCACTGGGGTGCTCATCCCAGTGCTCAGGGAAGCGGCCAGGCCTCCACTCTCCAGGTGGGGACACCAGCTTCCCTGGGCCTGAGGCTTCTTAATCTAGAAACCCTTCGGGTGGGCCCTAGAGGCACTGGGGCTGTGACGAAGCATCTCTCCCTTCCCTCTGCTTCCGCGTGTTCTGTCTGGGAGCCTCACAGCTGTCCGCCCACCAGCACCATCGCAGATAGCAACGGCAGGTCATGACAATACCTGCTTTGTCTCTGGAACACAGGGCTTGGCTTTCCTTTCTCAGAGGTTTTGTGGTTCACCTCTTATGGTGTGGCCTCCAGTTGCTTCCAGAATAAGGTTTCGGGTGAGTATGCAAGTGGAAGAGGCAAATGCAATCTGTCTGCACTGGGGGAGAGACTGAGACCGAAGCACACTGCACTAAAAATGACTAAATGGGAGCTGGCTTGTGCATCCCCACCCTGTGGCGGCTGTGAGCTGAGCACTTGGCTTTATTATCTCCTCTGACCCTCACAGCGGCCTGGGGAGGGGGGGGGGCGGGGGAGGCGGTCACGGAAGGCCTTCAGCTAATAGGAGACCCAAGGACCCGGATTCTCCTTCCCAGTAGGTCAGTGTTCTCCATGGTCCCCTCTGGACCAGCAGCCTCTGCAACTCTTGCGGAACCTGATGGAAATGCGACCCGCGGGACCGGACACTCTGCGGGGGAGGCCCAGCACACTGGGTTCAACCTCAGTTTCAACCTCTGGGAGGTTCTGATGTTCAGTCAGCTGAGAATCGCTGGCGTCTGCTATCTCAGGCCCTTGCGGAAGGCCTGGGTCCCTCTCCCCTGGATCCTGCTCTCCGTGGGGCCCTCGGCACACCGGGCAAACCCACGTGACGCTGTGGAGGGCTCCATGAAGGTCCTCTGGTTGGATTCTCTCCTTTTTAAACTCAGCCTGAGCTTTTTTCTTTAATGTTTATTTTTGAGAGAGACAGAGACAGAGCAAGAGTGTGGGGGAGGGGCAGAGAGAGGGAGACACAGAATCTGAAGCAGGCTCCAGTGCTCTGAGCCGTCAGCACAGAGCCCAACTCGGGGCTCGAACTCCTGAATTGCAAGATCATGATCTGAGCCAAAGTCAGACGCTTGGCTGACTGAGCCACTGAGGCGCCCCCAGCCTGAGCTCTTGATGCTTGGTCGCCTGGTCGCCGGAGGCTCCGGTCCCTGCTTCCAGCCAGCAAGGCCCTGCCCCAGCCTCCTCTGCTCTCAGGTTTTCCCTCAGAGGGCCAGGCACAGGCTCTCGGTTCCTGCAACCAGCGGGGAGGAGGCACATCGTGCCCCAGATCTTACGTGCAGGGACTGTGGCACGCAGGCTCTGGGAATCCGTTCCCAGAGGTCTGTGTCCACCGTGGGAGTGCAGCCGTGCCCCCCCCACCCCC